GAGCCGCTGCCTCCTGCGAGCAGGAGGGCCAGGACAGAGCCTGCCTGTGCTCAATGAAATGTGTTTCATTTTTTATATAGACATATATATATATATATATATAAATGAATTTTTAACTTAAGAGTAAACTGGTTTGGTGTTCGCTCGCACGAGTCCCGCTGCCGGGAGAGCCAGAGAACCCTGTGATGTTGCAATAAAATATTTTAAACAATAAAAAAAACAAAACCAGTGGCTTGAGGGTTTCTCTGTAGTTGCCAGGGTGGGGCTGGGATCTTTCCCTGGTGCTGGGAGTTCCAGGGTGGAATGGGGAGAGGGCAGGCAGGAGCCTGAGGGAGCTCAGGGATGGTGATGGAGCCGAAAACCTCCCTGCAGGTGAGGAGGCAGCACCTTCTTCCCGGCAGGGTGGAGGTTGATGGGCACTGGAGCAGCTCAGGGTGAGGAGTGCCCGGTGCTCCGTGCCAGCCCAGCTCCCTCCCGTGCTCACCAGCCTCTGGCTTCTTTCAAATCCGATAAAAGCAGGAGAAAGGCAGAGGGGCGTGAGGACCCAGCTCCTGCTCCTGCCAGCGGGCAGCTCCGGTGGCACGGCTCGGGGTGCAGCAGGGGCTCCTCTCCGTGCCCCAGAGCTGCAGAGCTGGCAGCCGGTGCCAGGGGAGTGTGGCCTGGGGGAAAGGTCCCCCCTGGGTTTTCCAGCCGAGGTGGCACTTGGGCAGTGCCAGGGGAGGACAGTGGCCCTGTGGATTCAGGAATTACAGCCCGGGGGGCTTTGTTTGGGAGAATCCCTGGGCAAGGAGCTCCAGGAGCTGGTGGGGACAGGGACACGCACAGGGACAGGCTGGGATCATGCCAGGCAGAGCCAGCCCTGACGACATGGCTCTGGTTTTATTTCAGTACAGAACAAGCCAAAGTGTCCCAGTGCTGGTGGCACCAGGGCTGCCCTGGCCCGTGACAGCAGCACAGGGCGCTCAGTCCAGCTCTGTGGAGGAGGCTCCTGATCCAGGAGGGACACTCCTGATCCAGGACGGATGCTCCTGAGCCAGAAGGGATGCTCCTGATCCAGGAGGGATGCTCCTGATCCGGGAGGGACACTCCTGATCCGGGAGGGACACTCCTGATCCGGGAGGGACACTCCTGATCCAGGAGGGACACTCCTGATGCAGGAAGGATGCTCCTGATCCAGGAGGGATGTGCTGATCCAGGAGGGATGCTCCTGATCCAGGAGGGATGTGCTGATCCAGGCTCCTGGCTGCACGCAGCAGCATCCCAGGGCCGGGCCAGCCCCCAGCCCTTCCCTGCTCACTCCATGGCCGCCGGCTGCTCCCCTTCCACGTCCCTCGTCTTGGAGTTCATCAGCTCCCGGCGGATCTCGGGCGAGATCTGGGGGTGGCTGTGGAACTTGAGCAGCTCCAGCAGGGCCTCCTTCTGCTCCGAGGACAGGTCCTCCTTGTAGCGCTGGGCCAGGGCCAGCAAGCTCTGGTGCCACAGCACGGGCAGGAGCCGCTGCTCCGTGCGGAAGGCCAGGAAGTGGAAGACCAGGGCGTCGAGCACGCGGAAGGGCAGCGCGTACTTCTTGTCGATGAGCAGGCGCAGGAAGATGCTGTTGGCGCCGCTGTACTGCATCTCGGCCAGCTTCAGCAGCGCCGCGCTGCGCGGGGGACACGCACGGGTCAGGGCACCGGGACACGGGGACACGCACGGGTCAGGGCACCGGGACACGGGGACACGGGGACACGCACGGGTCAGGGCACCGGGACACGGGGACACGGGGACACGCACGGGTCAGGGCACGGGGACACGGATGGGTCAGGGCACGGGGACACGGACACGGGGACACGCACGGGTCAGGGCACCGGGACACAGACACGGGGACACGGATGGGTCAGGGCACGGGGACACGGACATGGGGACACGGATGAGTCAGGGCACGGGGACACGGACACGCACGGGTCAGGGCACGGGGACACGGACACGGGGACACGCACAGGTCAGGGCACAGGGACACGGACACGGGGACAGCACGGGTCAGGGCACGGGGACACAGATACAGGGACACAGATGGGTCAGGGCACGGGGACACGGACACGGGGACACGCACGGGTCAGGGCACCGGGACACGGACACGGGGACACGCACGGGTCAGGGCACCGGGACACGGACAGGTCAGGACATGGGGACACGGACACGGGGACACCGGGACTTGAGGACATGGGAAAGGTGAGGGGTCAGGGACAGGGACACAGGCACATGGCACAGGTGAGGGGTCAGGGACACGGGGACACAGGAGAGGTGAGGGGACAGGGACAGGGGACAAAGGGACACAGGGACACAGGAGGTGAGGGTTCAGGGGACAGAGCCATGGGGACAGAAGAACAGGCACAGGTTGAAGTCATGGGGGCCAAGGAATGGGCATGAGAGGGGCCAGGCTGGAGCCACGGTGACTCTCCACAGAGTCACAAGGGCTGGAGCCATGGGGACAGACCCCACAGGGGTCGGGGTAACTGCACTGGAGCCATGGAGCACCAGGGACTCGGGCACAGAGCTGAGCCTCGAATCTCAACCCCAGCGGGAGCTGAGTGAGCCCTCAGCACCTCCGAGGGGCTGCAGGGCGGATCCAAGGCACTTCCCAGGGTCCCTGGGGGAGAAGCTCTTCCCCTGCAGCCCCTCAGGGCCTCACCTGGAGTGCAGGACGGGGATGGAGCACTTGGTGAGGATGCTGCCGATGATGATGGCCTCCCTGAGCGTGCAGGTGCCGGACTCACAGAGTGGGATGAGGATCCCTGGGAATGGGGACACTCAGGCACCGACCACCTCCATCCACACACAGAACCCTGGGCTCAGCCCCTTCCCCTGAAAAATCACCCCTCTTACAGCAGCAGCAGCAGCTGGACGGCCCCTGTCATGTACCAGCCCCTCAGGCAGCCAGCCAGGCCCAGAGGAGACCCTGCAGACCCCCACCCTTGAACCAGACCCTGCAGACCCCTACCCATGAGCCAGACCCTGCAGACCCCCACCCTTGAGCCAGACCCTGCAGACCCCTACCCTTGAACCAGGCTGCTGGCTTGAACAGAGCTTTCTTCAGAGCCATGTACAGGTGGAAGTTGAGTCGTTTGTACTCGGCGATGTCGTCCCGGATCCGCGGCAGCAGCACCAGGTTGTAGAACCTCTGGGCCATCCTCTCCTTCAGGTTGGAGGAAAATATCCTGGGTTCAGCAAAGCACAAAGGGATGGATGAGGAAAAAAGGCCAAATAGGCAGGTTGATGTTTTGTAAATCTGACTCTGGTTATGCGAAAAAAAAAACAAAAATCCCATGCTAGAGGGGCCCTGAGGTGACCTTACCTGGTGGCCTGGTACATGGCAGCAGCTGTCCACGTCTCTGGCTCAGTGATGTAGAGGATCTGCTCCCAGTTGGACAAGGCAGGGATGATTTTAAACGCCTTGGGGAGCTTCCCACTCCTGTACTTGGACAGCACCTTCAAGGACAGGGACACAGGCCAGGCCATGACTGGAGGAAGTGACAGCAGGGACAAGAGCACGCTGTCACCTCAGGGTGGTGGCTGTGGGTTCAGCTGCCCCCTCCTCACCTCCCTGACACCCCTGTAGACCTCCAGGACACGGGGGTCGAGCTGGGGCATGGGGCAGCCCGAGAGCTCGGACAGCGCCGTCTCCACCTCCGTCTGCTTCTCCGTGATCTTCTCCATGATGATATCGGCCAGTGTGCGCCTGGGGCCACATGGGACAGGTCAGCGGGGACAAGGGAGGGCTGGCACGGGACAGGTCAGCGGGGACAAGGGAGGGCTGGCACGGGACAGGTCAGCGGGGACAAGGGAGGGCTGGCACGGGACAGGGTCAGCAGAGACCAAGGAGGGCTGGCAGGGGACAGGTCAGCGGGGACAAGGGCGGGCTGGCACGGGACAGGGTCAGCAGAGACCAAGGAGGGCTGGCAGGGGACAGCTCAGTGGGGACAAGGGAGGGCTGGCACGGGACAGGGTCAGCAGGGACCAGGGAGGATTGGCAAGGGACAGGGGCGAGCGAGGGCTGACAGGGGAAGGGGGCGAGCTGGGGTCTGTGCAGGGCCAGCACGGGACCGGGGGGAGAATCGGGGGTCGCGGGGGGATGACACGATGGGATCACATCACACGGGATGGGGGTGAGTTGGGGGCTGACGTGGGACAGGGGGGCCGAGACAGGGAGGGGTGAACCGGGGGTCGCACGGGGCTGACACCGGCCAGGGCAGAGCCGGTGCAGGGAGGCGGCCCCTGCCCGGTGCAGCCCCGCGGTCACCTCAGCGGCGGGTTCTTGTTCATGAACATCTCGATGGCTTTCTCGTCCTCGGGGTCCACCTCCACCTCCCCGCCGTAGTCCCCGCTCCGTCCCGCGGCCGCCGCCGCCTTCTCCAGCGAAGGCCACTCCTCCTCATCCTCCGAGTCCGAGCCGGGAGCTGCGGGGAGCGGCGCTGGCTCAGCCGGGGCCGCGCACCCTCGGCGGTTCCCCAGGGCTTACCGGGGGCTCACCGAGCACCGCGCTGCGCTGCCGGGGGGCTGCGGGCGCTCCGGGGCCGTGCTCGGCCTCCAGCTCCTCCTGCTGCCGCCGCGCCTGCTCCAGGATGCGGCGGGACAGCCGCGCGTCCACGAAGCCGTCCCCGCCGCCATCCCCGCCCGGCTCCTCCGCCGCGGCCCCGCGCCTCTCCCGCACCCGCGGGGCCGCGTCCTGCAGGATCTGCTCGGCCAAGGGCAGCGCCGGGGCCGGGCCGGAGCCCCGCGCCCGCCGGGCCTTGGGCATCGCGGCGGAACCGGGGCACGCCGGCTCCGCGCCGGGCAGCGACACGCGGGACCGGCCCCCGCCTCTTCCGGGGCGGCTCCGCCTCTTCCCGGTGCCGCTGGTCCCGCCCGTTCCGGCGGTGGAGCCGGCGGCATGGGGGTCACCTGGTGAGAGCGGGGCTCCGGGACGGGCTCCGGGTGGGGGAGGCACCGGGATAGACTCTGGGAACGGGGGCGGAACCGGGAAGGGCTCCTGGAATGGGGATGGAACCGGGAAGGGCTCCTGGAATGGAGATGGAACCGGGACAGAATCCTGGAATGGGGATGGAACCGGGAAGGGCTCCTGGAATGGGGATGGAACCGGGATAGACTCCTGGAATGGGGATGGAACCGGGATAGACTCCTGGAATGGAGATGGAACCGGGATAGACTCCTAGAATGGGGATGGAACCGGGATAGACTACTGGAATGGGGGTCGGGACCGGGACAGAATCCTGGAATGGGGATGGAACCGGGAAGAGCTCCTGGAATGGGGGTCGGGACCGGGATAGAATCCTAGAATGGGGATGGAACCGGGAAGGGCTCCTGGAATGGAGATGGAACCGGGATAGACTCCTAGAATGGGGATGGAACCGGGACAGAATCCTGGAATGGGGATGGAACCGGGAAGGGCTCCTGGAATGGGGGGAAGGCAGCGGGAAGGACTCCTGGAATGGGGGGAAGGCACCGGGAAGGGCTCCTGGAATGGAGAGCGGAGCCGGGAGCGCTCCCGGCGCGGACAGCCCCGGGGACTCGGGGAGAGTCTCCGGGTGGAGGATGCGGGGCGGGGGCGCGGCCGGCGGTGCCCCGGCGGGTCCGTGAGCCCCGGCCCGTGTCGCAGCGTGTCGCAGGTGCCGGTGGCCGAGGGCAAGAGCGTGCAGCAGACGGTGGAGCTGCTGGCGCGGCGGCTGGAGGCGCTGGGCGCGGACAAGCAAGGGACGTTCGGCGTGGACTGCGAGACCTATCACACCGCGGCCGCCCTCGGCACGCAGGGTCAGCAGCGCCGGGGGCAGCGGGCGGCCCTTCCCCGAGCTCCTCTTCTCCGTCCCGTCCTTCTCCTTCTCCGCTTTCTCTCCCTTCCCTCCTTCTCCTTCCACACCTTCCCTGGAGGCGCCTGGATCTGATGCTGGTTGATGATTTAGGGGTTTAGGAGTTGGGCTGAGGGTCGGACTGGCTGATCTTGAAGGTCTCTTCCAGCTTCCATTAGTCTATGATTCTACAATTCCTTCTTTCCTTTCCCCTTTCTCCTTTTCCCTGTCTCATTTTCTCTTCTCTCCTTTTCCTTTCCCCTCTTTCCTTCCTTTTTTCCCTTTCCTTTTCCCTTTTCCCTCCTCCCCTGGCTCCTCACATCCCTTCCAGGCTCTGATATCAGCCCACACAGCCCCAGCTCTGCTGATCCATTATTTCCCAGCCAGACCCACTGGAATCTTCCAGAGCAGCTCTTCCCTGCTTTTTTGGCAGCTGGAACATGGATGAGAGGGAGCCCAGGCTCCCTCCAGGCAGTGGGTGGGAGGTGGGTGCTCCTGGGGTTCTCCTTTCACCTCACCCCAAGCCGTGCTGATGTTTTATCCCGGTGCTGCCGAGGATTTCTTTTTCCCTATAAATTTCCAGAAGGAAATCCAACCTCTTCCCTGAATGGACACCACAATAAACATACGAGTATCCGGAATTAAAGCAAGGAGGACGAGAGGCAGGAAGAGAAGCTGCTGTAGGGCAGGAATTTGGTTTTCCAGACCGGCTCCTTCGCTGTCATTGCAGGGCAGACAGGGAAGCTGATGTACGTCATGCACAACTCCGAGTACCCCCTGAGCTGCTTCGCCCTCTTCGAGAACGGGCCCTGCCTCGTGGCCGACACCAACTTTGACACCCTCATGGTGAAGCTCAAGGGCTTCTTCCAGAACGCCAAGGCCAACAAGATCGAGAGCCGCGGCACCCGCTACCAGTACTGCGACTTCCTGGTGAAGCTGGGCACCGTCACCATGGGCCCCAGCGCCAGGGGCATCTCCGTGGAGGTGAGAGCCCTTTGGGAATGTGGGAACGCCTGGATAGCCGGGGGAATGCCGTGGGAGAAGCTGGAGAAGGAAGAAACCCGGGGTGGTCTCAGTGAGGGTGTCTGAAGCGAGCGAACAGGGAAAATGGAGAGAGATAATGGAGTTACAAGGGCCTGGAGGTCCAGGAAAAGTGGGAATGGTTTCACACTGCCAGAAGGCAGGGCTAGATGGGATATTGGGAAGAAATTCTTCCCTGTGAGGGTGGGAAGACCCTGGAATAGATGTCCCACAGAGGCTGTGGCTGCCCCTGGATTCCTGGAAGTGTCCAAGGCCAGGCTGGACACTGGGACTCGGAGCAGCCTGGGACAGTGGGAGGTGTCCCTGCCCTGGATAAGCTTTAAGGTCCCTTTCCCCAAACCATTCCATGATCCCTGTCCTGTCTGTGTCTTAGTCGTGCTGCTGGTGCAGCAGGCAGGTTTGGATCTCCTCTCCCAAGGTTTAATCCTTGGTGCTCCAGGGCTATCCCTGCAGGAATGCCATCCTGATAAAAAGCTGATTCAATTCCAGCTGCACAACATGAGCACCATCCCTCAGGTTAATCAGCGCGGAAAAGGGGATAAACAACCTCTCCAGTGCTGATTTGGGGCTTGCTGTCCTTCCCTTTGCAGTTTACCTTCCCTTCCCTTTGGAAAGGGTCTCCTGCATGTTCCCAGCATGTCCTGTCTGGCTTATGTTTACCCATCCTTGTTAGATGCTGAATATTTTGAGATGTTTCCATGAAAAGCCTTCCCTGCAGAGAGGCCCCAGGGCTGTGGGGATGAGTTCCCAGGTGGAATTCTGCCCCTGCCATGAACTCCAGGGTTGTGGGGATGAGTTCCCAGGTGGAATTCTGCCCCTGCTGTCACCTCCAGGGCTGTGGGGATGAGTTCCCAGGTGGAATAGTGTCCTTCTGGCAGCTCCAAGGCTGTGGGGATGTGTTCCCAGGTGGAATAGTGTCCTTCTGGCAGCTCCAAGGCTGTGGGGATGTGTTCCCAGGTGGAATACTGCCCCTGTGTGATCGCCAACGACTGCTGGAACCTGCTGATGGAGTTCATGCAGAGCTTCATGGGCAGCCACACGCCCGGGGTCCCGCCGGTGTTCAGCTCCAAGCACGACAGCACCTACAGCCCCGGGGACACCATGGTGCAGTACATGGAGCTCTTCAACAAGATCCGCAAGCAGCAGCAGGTGCCCGTGGCTGGCATCAGGTGAAGAGGAGCCCTGGAGCTCCTGGCTGCATCCTGAACCTGGCTGGAGTCCCTCCAGATTCCCTGGAATTCCTGACTGCATCCTGGTCCTGGGATCCCCAGTCCCTCCAGATCCCTCCTGGCTGCATCCTGATCCTGGCTGGAGTCCCTCCAGATTCCCTGGAATTCCTGACTGGAGCAGGAGTCCCTGCAGATCCCCTGGAGCTCCTGGCTGCATCCTGATCCCTCCAGATCCCTCCTGGCTGTGTCCTGATCCTGGCTGGATCCCCTGGAATTCCTGACTCATCCTGGTCCTGGCTGGAGCAGGAATCCCTCCAGATCCCCTGGAATTCCCGACTCATCCTGATCCTGAGATCCCCAGTCCCTCCAGATCCCTCCTGACTGCATCCTGATCCTGGCTGGAGTTCCTCCAGATCCCCTGGAATTCCCGACTCATCCTGATCCTGGCTGGAGCAGGAGTCCCTCCAAAATGTGGCACAGGAGGCAGCCCCAGGAGTTTTTCCCTTCTGGATCTTTCCCGTTTCAAAGCTTTGCCGTGTTTAATTCTGGGTGTCGTCCATGGTTTGGGATTATTGAATCCATTGGTTGTGTGGGTTTTTTTGGACAGTGTTTCATGCAGGGAATCACTGTTTATCCACAGGGAAAAGAGAAATTCCAGCCAAAAGCAAGGGCAAAGCTTCTGAGACTACAGAAATCTCTTACATTTTTATTTTTTTATATCCACAGCGGTGTTTTGTTGTATTTCACCCCAATAAAAGGCTGCTTTGGGAGGAGGGTTGTGCTGGTTTGTGTTGTTTATTTCCAGTCTTCTCCTGGATTTGCTTCAAGAGCTTTATGCCCGCAAAGCAAACATTTCCCTGTGAAAAAAAATCCAGGAATTCTCTGATTTTCCTGTTCCTGGCACGTTCTTACCTTGCTTTCATCCTCTGTAGCTGATGGGAATGTCAAAATCGCTGCCTCTCAATGAAGGCTTTGGATAAATTAAAAAATAAACTAAATAAGCCTGGCAGGAGCTTTGTCTGGCACTGAGAATTCCAGCTGCTTTATCCCATTGTTTTTAAGGTAGATAATAAATATCCTGTCCCTGCACACCACTTGAGAAGTCCTGATGGCTTCAGATTCAATGGAATAAGGAAGGATTTGGGCAATAAAAGACAAAAATTCATTGTAAGAGATAATGGTATCACTTCAATATTATTTTTTCCTTCATATTCCTGGAAAAGCACCAGAAAAAAAGTTTGGAAAGCATGCCAGAAAAAATATCGTTGGTTCCTTGCCCGTATGAGTTTGAAGAGCAAAGAAAACAGAAATAATTTGTCTTAAACAGGTTTTTTATATGAAGCAAAAAGGAAAAAAAAAACCAGCTGATTTGTGGCTTGATTTTCTGGCTGAGAACTCTTGTTGTTTTTTATAAATATGATGCTCTGTTGTTTATACTTGCAAACCTAATTAATGTTAGAGTGCTCAGAGCTTTTAGTTGTGAGGATTTAATAAATTTAATCAGCACAGGGCCCAGAAAGAGGCGATTCATGAGTCATTAGAAATAGCACAATGTCCCCTAAGTGTGGTAGAAATTCCAACACGCTGAATACACTGAATTTTTTGCAGCTTTTAGCCCCAGGTTCATGACTTGTATGGGGCTGTTCAGTGGTGGAAATTCACTGTCGTTCCATGTGGTTAAACTGGGAAAACTTAGAGAAACCAACTAGGATTTACAGGGATGGTTATCCCTGTCCTGTTTCCCATTACAAGGTTAAAAAAAAAAAAGGTTTTTTAAAAAAAACAAAACAAAACAAAACCCCCTGTTAATGAGCAGATTAGTCATGGTGAATGTTGGTAATGCTTTGTTAATTCCCGAGGCTGCTCCGCTGTCGTGTGCCTAAAAACCATGGAAGTGTGTGCTGGAATCCCTGGGGATTCCTGGGGTTTTATTAATTCCTGGTGCTGCTCCTGCAGTTCCAAAAAGGGACCCCTGGAGCCACGTTCTGCCTTTCATTAACCCCTTGACGTCAGTGGGTTGCCAGAGAATGAGGATGAGGAGGATTTAGTCCTTTATGTCCCAGCAAAGCCTTTTGCTGCTTTCTGGAAATGAGGGAATCAGCTGCTCCTTTCACTCCCTTAATGGCCAAAATTACTCTTTTTTTTTTCCCTGAAAAAAAAAAAAAAAATCTTCGTTTTGGCTGTCAAATCACAGTTTGGAAGATTGGTTGTTTTCTTAGAGGTAGAGGTGGCCATGCTGAGATCCTGCTCTATTGTGGATCCTTTTTTTTCTGTTTCTGCACTTCTCATAATCTCTGTCAGTGTTGTTTAATTCCCTAAATTGGAATAAAATTAATTCCCAAGAGGGATTTTGTGAATGGAGGCCTCACCCTTGCACAGTTTATTATTTATATTTATTTATACAGGTGATGTTATCAGTATGACAAGCGCTTCAGTGGCAGAGCCAGTCCCAAATCTCTCTGCCACCCCAGGGGGGACATTTGGGGCTTTTGTTCTGTTCTTGTGCCGTGGCATTTATTTAATCTCACAAAGAGACTGAAGATCGTTACCCTCCAATTTTAATTGGCTGTGCCAGCCTGGATTTCTGCGCAGCTTCGGGGTCAAAACAGGCCAGGCACTGGTGCCACCATCGCCTCGGGGTCCCTGTCACCTCAGGGGCCATGTGGGGTGTGACCCCGTTATCTCAGAGCCCCCACCTCAGGTTCTCCATCACCTCATGGTGCCCACAGACACCCTGGGACCCTTCCCATCGCCTCAGGGATTGTTTGGGGTGTCCCCCCAGTCATCTCAAGACCCTTTGGGGTGTCCCTCTGTCACCTCTGGGGTGCCTCTCTGTCACCTCGAGACTCTTTGGGGTGTCCCCCCCATCACCTCAGAGACCCTTTGGGGTGTCCCCCCTGTCACCTCAGAGACTCTTTGGGGTGTCCCCCCTGTCACCTCAGAGACTCTTTGGGGTGTCCCCCATCACCTCAGAGATTCTTTGGGGTGTCCCCCATCACCTCGAGACCCTTTAGGGTGTCCCCCCAGTCACCTCGAGACCCTTTGGGGTGTCCCTCTGTCACCTCAGAGACCCTTTGGGGTGTCCCCCCTGTCACCTCGAGACTTTTTGGGGTGTTTTCCCCATCACCTCAGAGACCCTTTGGGGTGTCCCCCCCGTCACCTCTGGGGTGTCCCCCCCATCACCTCGAGACCCTTTGGGGTGTCCCCCCCATCACCTCAGAGACTCTTTGGGGTGTCCCTCTGTCACCTTGAGACCCTTTGGGATGTCCCCCCTGTCACCTCAGAGACTCTTTGGGGTGTCCCCCCTGTGCCCCCTCCTTGACCCCCCATCACCTCAGAGACCCTTTGTGGTGTCCCCTCACCACCACCCTTTGGGGTGTCCCCCCTGTCACCTGAGGGTCTCCATCACCTCAGAGCCCCCACACCCCCCTCCATGTTCTCCCCATCACCTGAGGGACCCTTTGGGGCTCTCCCTCAGGGTCTTCATCACCTCAGAACCTCCTTGTCCCCCCCCCATCACCTCAGGGACTGTTTGTTTGGGGTGCCCCTCATCACCTCAGGGACTGTTTGGGGTGCCCCTCATCACCTCAGGGACTGTTTGTTTGGGGTGCCCCTCATCACCTCAGGGTTTCCCACAGCAGCCCCCCCTTGTCCCTCCCATCACCTCAGGGACCCTTTAAGGTGTACCCCAATCCCCTCACGGACTTCATCACCTCAGAACTCCCTCGCCCCCGCTCCGGGGTGCCCCCTCATCGCCTCAGGATCTCCATCTCAAGGCATCCATCCCCTCAAAGCCCTCACAGCTTCCCCGTTGTGCCCCCCATCACCTCAGGGACCCCAGTGGGGCGCGCTCCCTCCATCACCTCAGCACCCCCATCCCCTCAGGGCCCCCGTGGGGTACCTCCCACCCCACCCCACCCGCTCGGGGGCCCCCGCGCCGCCCCTTTAAGCGCCTCTTTGTCTCCGCGGCACCCTTATTTACCGTGCCGTGCCTCAGTCGAACTTGGGCCCCGCGCTTCACAAAGCCCGGCACGTCACGGGCGGGGGCGGGACTCGAACCCGCGCCGGCCCGCCCCCCCCGCCGCCCGTTCGACAGCGCCCCCTGCCGGCTGCGCACACTGCGTACGCCCCGACGCCGCTCTGCCCTCCGCGGCGTACGCTACGCCAGCGAGCTGCGTACGCTACGCCAGCACCGTAAACACCCGCTGGCTTAACCTGCGCGCCGCGCTACGCAACCGGCGTAAGCGGCGGAGAGGGAGGAGGGTGTTGGCGTTGAGTGACGCGCGCTGCAGCCAATGGCAGAGCGGGGCGGGGCGCGGCGGCCAATGGGCGGGGAGGGGGGCGTGGCCGGCCGGGGCGTCTCGCGCTGGGTGACAGCTCGCGCGTGCTGGTGATGGCGGTAAATAAAGGGGACGGGGCGGGGNCGGGGAGAGTCTCCGGGTGGAGGATGCGGGGCGGGGGCGCGGCCGGCGGTGCCCCGGCGGGTCCGTGAGCCCCGGCCCGTGTCGCAGCGTGTCGCAGGTGCCGGTGGCCGAGGGCAAGAGCGTGCAGCAGACGGTGGAGCTGCTGGCGCGGCGGCTGGAGGCGCTGGGCGCGGACAAGCAAGGGACGTTCGGCGTGGACTGCGAGACCTATCACACCGCGGCCGCCCTCGGCACGCAGGGTCAGCAGCGCCGGGGGCAGCGGGCGGCCCTTCCCCGAGCTCCTCTTCTCCGTCCCGTCCTTCTCCTTCTCCGCTTTCTCTCCCTTCCCTCCTTCTCCTTCCACACCTTCCCTGGAGGCGCCTGGATCTGATGCTGGTTGATGATTTAGGGGTTTAGGAGTTGGGCTGAGGGTCGGACTGGCTGATCTTGAAGGTCTCTTCCAGCTTCCATTAGTCTATGATTCTACAATTCCTTCTTTCCTTTCCCCTTTCTCCTTTTCCCTGTCTCATTTTCTCTTCTCTCCTTTTCCTTTCCCCTCTTTCCTTCCTTTTTTCCCTTTCCTTTTCCCTTTTCCCTCCTCCCCTGGCTCCTCACATCCCTTCCAGGCTCTGATATCAGCCCACACAGCCCCAGCTCTGCTGATCCATTATTTCCCAGCCAGACCCACTGGAATCTTCCAGAGCAGCTCTTCCCTGCTTTTTTGGCAGCTGGAACATGGATGAGAGGGAGCCCAGGCTCCCTCCAGGCAGTGGGTGGGAGGTGGGTGCTCCTGGGGTTCTCCTTTCACCTCACCCCAAGCCGTGCTGATGTTTTATCCCGGTGCTGCCGAGGATTTCTTTTTCCCTATAAATTTCCAGAAGGAAATCCAACCTCTTCCCTGAATGGACACCACAATAAACATACGAGTATCCGGAATTAAAGCAAGGAGGACGAGAGGCAGGAAGAGAAGCTGCTGTAGGGCAGGAATTTGGTTTTCCAGACCGGCTCCTTCGCTGTCATTGCAGGGCAGACAGGGAAGCTGATGTACGTCATGCACAACTCCGAGTACCCCCTGAGCTGCTTCGCCCTCTTCGAGAACGGGCCCTGCCTCGTGGCCGACACCAACTTTGACACCCTCATGGTGAAGCTCAAGGGCTTCTTCCAGAACGCCAAGGCCAACAAGATCGAGAGCCGCGGCACCCGCTACCAGTACTGCGACTTCCTGGTGAAGCTGGGCACCGTCACCATGGGCCCCAGCGCCAGGGGCATCTCCGTGGAGGTGAGAGCCCTTTGGGAATGTGGGGAACGCCTGGATAGTCGGGGGAATGCCATGGGAGAAGCTGGAGAAGGAAGAAACCCGGGGTGGTCTCAGTGAGGGTGTCTGAAGCGAGCGAACAGGGAAAATGGAGAGAGATAATGGAGTTACAAGGGCCTGGAGGTCCAGGAAAAGTGGGAATGGTTTCACACTGCCAGAAGGCAGGGCTAGATGGGATATTGGGAAGAAATTCTTCCCTGTGAGGGTGGGAAGACCCTGGAATAGATGTCCCACAGAGGCTGTGGCTGCCCCTGGATTCCTGGAAGTGTCCAAGGCCAGGCTGGACACTGGGACTCGGAGCAGCCTGGGACAGTGGGAGGTGTCCCTGCCCTGGATAAGCTTTAAGGTCCCTTTCCCCAAACCATTCCATGATCCCTGTCCTGTCTGTGTCTTAGTCGTGCTGCTGGTGCAGCAGGCAGGTTTGGATCTCCTCTCCCAAGGTTTAATCCTTGGTGCTCCAGGGCTATCCCTGCAGGAATGCCATCCTGATAAAAAGCTGATTCAATTCCAGCTGCACAACATGAGCACCATCCCTCAGGTTAATCAGCGCGGAAAAGGGGATAAACAACCTCTCCAGTGCTGATTTGGGGCTTGCTGTCCTTCCCTTTGCAGTTTACCTTCCCTTCCCTTTGGAAAGGGTCTCCTGCATGTTCCCAGCATGTCCTGTCTGGCTTATGTTTACCCATCCTTGTTAGATGCTGAATATTTTGAGATGTTTCCATGAAAAGCCTTCCCTGCAGAGAGGCCCCAGGGCTGTGGGGATGAGTTCCCAGGTGGAATTCTGCCCCTGCCATGAACTCCAGGGTTGTGGGGATGAGTTCCCAGGTGGAATAGTGTCCTTCTGGCAGCTCCAAGGCTGTGGGGATGTGTTCCCAGGTGGAATACTGTCCTTCCTGCCAGCTCCAAGGCTGTGGGGATGTGTTCCCAGGTGGAATAGTGTCCTTCTGGCAGCTCCAAGGCTGTGGGGATGTGTTCCCAGGTGGAATACTGCCCCTGTGTGATCGCCAACGACTGCTGGAACCTGCTGATGGAGTTCATGCAGAGCTTCATGGGCAGCCACACGCCCGGGGTCCCGCCGGTGTTCAGCTCCAAGCACGACAGCACCTACAGCCCCGGGGACACCATGGTGCAGTACATGGAGCTCTTCAACAAGATCCGCAAGCAGCAGCAGGTGCCCGTGGCTGGCATCAGGTGAAGAGGAGCCCTGGAGCTCCTGGCTGCATCCTGAACCTGGCTGGAGTCCCTCCAGATTCCCTGGAATTCCTGACTGCATCCTGGTCCTGGGATCCCCAGTCCCTCCAGATCCCTCCTGGCTGCATCCTGATCCTGGCTGGAGTCCCTCCAGATTCCCTGGAATTCCTGACTGGAGCAGGAGTCCCTGCAGATCCCCTGGAGCTCCTGGCTGCATCCTGATCCCTCCAGATCCCTCCTGGCTGTGTCCTGATCCTGGCTGGATCCCCTGGAATTCCTGACTCATCCTGGTCCTGGCTGGAGCAGGAATCCCTCCAGATCCCCTGGAATTCCCGACTCATCCTGATCCTGAGATCCCCAGTCCCTCCAGATCCCTCCTGACTGCATCCTGATCCTGGCTGGAGTTCCTCCAGATCCCCTGGAATTCCCGACTCATCCTGATCCTGGCTGGAGCAGGAGTCCCTCCAAAATGTGGCACAGGAGGCAGCCCCAGGAGTTTTTCCCTTCTGGATCTTTCCCGTTTCAAAGCTTTGCCGTGTTTAATTCTGGGTGTCGTCCATGGTTTGGGATTATTGAATCCATTGGTTGTGTGGGTTTTTTTGGACAGTGTTTCATGCAGGGAATCACTGTTTATCCACAGGGAAAAGAGAAATTCCAGCCAAAAGCAAGGGCAAAGCTTCTGAGACTACAGAAATCTCTTACATTTTTATTTTTTTATATCCACAGCGGTGTTTTGTTGTATTTCACCCCAATAAAAGGCTGCTTTGGGAGGAGGGTTGTGCTGGTTTGTGTTGTTTATTTCCAGTCTTCTCCTGGATTTGCTTCAAGAGCTTTATGCCCGCAAAGCAAACATTTCCCTGTGAAAAAAAATCCAGGAATTCTCTGATTTTCCTGTTCCTGGCACGTTCTTACCTTGCTTTCATCCTCTGTAGCTGATGGGAATGTCAAAATCGCTGCCTCTCAATGAAGGCTTTGGATAAATTAAAAAATAAACTAAATAAGCCTGGCAGGAGCTTTGTCTGGCACTGAGAATTCCAGCTGCTTTATCCCATTGTTTTTAAGGTAGATAATAAATATCCTGTCCCTGCACACCACTTGAGAAGTCCTGATGGCTTCAGATTCAATGGAATAAGGAAGGATTTGGGCAATAAAAGACAAAAATTCATTGTAAGAGATAATGGTATCACTTCAATATTATTTTTTCCTTCATATTCCTGGAAAAGCACCAGAAAAAAAGTTTGGAAAGCATGCCAGAAAAAATATCGTTGGTTCCTTGCCCGTATGAGTTTGAAGAGCAAAGAAAACAGAAATAATTTGTCTTAAACAGGTTTTTTATATGAAGCAAAAAGGAAAAAAAAAACCAGCTGATTTGTGGCTTGATTTTCTGGCTGAGAACTCTTGTTGTTTTTTATAAATATGATGCTCTGTTGTTTATACTTGCAAACCTAATTAATGTTAGAGTGCTCAGAGCTTTTAGTTGTGAGGATTTAATAAATTTAATCAGCACAGGGCCCAGAAAGAGGCGATTCATGAGTCATTAGAAATAGCACAATGTCCCCTAAGTGTGGTAGAAATTCCAACACGCTGAATACACTGAATTTTTTGCAGCTTTTAGCCCCAGGTTCATGACTTGTATGGGGCTGTTCAGTGGTGGAAATTCACTGTCGTTCCATGTGGTTAAACTGGGAAAACTTAGAGAAACCAACTAGGATTTACAGGGATGGTTATCCCTGTCCTGTTTCCCATTACAAGGTTAAAAAAAAAAAAGGTTTTTTAAAAAAAACAAAACAAAACAAAACCCCCTGTTAATGAGCAGATTAGTCATGGTGAATGTTGGTAATGCTTTGTTAATTCCCGAGGCTGCTCCGCTGTCGTGTGCCTAAAAACCATGGAAGTGTGTGCTGGAATCCCTGGGGATTCCTGGGGTTTTATTAATTCCTGGTGCTGCTCCTGCAGTTCCAAAAAGGGACCCCTGGAGCCACGTTCTGCCTTTCATTAACCCCTTGACGTCAGTGGGTTGCCAGAGAATGAGGATGAGGAGGATTTAGTCCTTTATGTCCCAGCAAAGCCTTTTGCTGCTTTCTGGAAATGAGGGAATCAGCTGCTCCTTTCACTCC